AATTAACATTTAGTTAACCGTTTATAGAAAATAGAGTTATAGTTTTAAAAGTTAGAGTTTTACAGGTGATTTCCTTGTAGTGCCAATCATTATAACTTCCTTACAAAATTTTCCTATTGGTTTTTCATTACTTTGCTCATGTTTTCCTTTCCTTTCTGCCCATTCCTTTGCCTTAATACACTCAAGACATGTATAGACAAGCTCTAAGCGGCCTCCCTAAGGTGAACAAAAGAAAAGGGAAGGGAAATAAAGAAGACCAACTGTTTCTGTTTGCTTAACAGTTGGTGATGGAGGCCTTTTCTTTTTTTTAGACAGAGTTTTGCTTTTGTTGCCCAGGCTGGAGTGCAATTGTCCTATCTCGGCTCACTGCAGCCTCCACCTCCCAGATTCAAGCTATTTTCCTGCCTCAGCCTCCCCAGTAGCTGGGATTACAGGAATACGCCACCACGCCTGGCTAATTTTGTGTTTTTAGTAGAGATGCGGTTTCTCCATGTTGGTCACGCTGGTCTCAAATTCCTGACCTCAGGTGATCTGCTCACCTCAGCCTCCCAAAGTGCTGGGATTACAGGCATGAGCCACCATGCGTGGGCTGGAGGCCTTTTTATCTAGCCTTGTGAATGCACCATGTAAGATGTTATATCTCAAGCTTCTTCTTCTAAAAAGATTGCCTAAATAGAGAAACATGCCTACAGAAGTCAAGAGCTTTCTGCGATTTGCATTTGTGCCAGATTAACTGTGGCTGAGGCCCACCTCAGGCATAGACCAAAAAAAGTTGCCATCTGGAAGACCCATTTTCATGTGCTTAAGGAACAGCTTGCTCAGGAATTATTCCCTTACCTGAGGGAGTTTGCTGCTTATAGACCCCAGCTTCCGGAATAGAGGTTGATTCCTTTTGCTTGAGGGATTAAAAGCAGTTGGCTCTGCGAAGGTTTATTTAGTAAACCTTAGAAATCTTTTACACCTAAGAGTTTTTACCTCTCCCATGAGGTCTCCAAAGCATTTTCGAACAAAGAAAAGGGCAGGAGGGTATCTGACCAGGCAGAGAGCACAAGGTGTGCCAGACAGAGCAAACTCACTCCTTTACCTAAGACACCTGCTCTGATCACGACTGCAACTCTCATGTTAGAGCATGTTCAAGGTGCAGAGGAAAGTGCAAGGATGTGATTTAGGCATTAGATACAGCCTCCTTGTCCTCTTATTTCACTACTGATGAGCAACACCTCTAGCTGGAACTGATTTTCTGTAGTCTTGGCTTTCCTGGTCTCCATGTGTGTGAAGTACACACACACACGCACACACACACACCCATGAAAAAAAAACACAAAATGGCCTAACAAGGAAAGGTAGAGAAATAAAGGGTCGACAAAAAGAGTCAAAGTCTGTAAAATATTAGCAGATTTTTTCTGAGCCAAATATGAGTGACCAATGTCCTGTGACACAACCCTCAGGAGATCCTGAGAACATGTGCTCAAGGTGGTCAGGCTACCGCTTGGTTTCAAACATTTTAGGAAAACATAGGACATCAATCAGTACGTGTAGGGTGTACATTAATTTGCTCTGGAAAGGCAGGACAACTTGAAGCAAGGTGGGGCTTTCAGGTCACAGGTGGATTCAAAGACTTTCTGATTGGCAATTGGTTGAGAGAGGTTAAGTTATTGTCTAAAGACCTAAAATCAATAGAAGGGAATGTCTGGGTTAAGATAAGGGGTTGTGGAGACCCCTAATGGTTCCCCTTAAGTGGGAAATAAGTTCCCATTACACAAAAGAAGCCTCCAAGTAGCAGGCTTCAGAAAGAATAGATTGTAGATATTTCTTATCAGAGTTGATTTTCTCCTGGATCAAGAAAGAGGCCTGGAAAAGAAAGGGGGTTCTCTTTAGAATGTGGAATTTCCCCACAAGAGACAGCTTTACAGGATTCTTTCAAGATATGTCAAAAAAAACATAATTTGGGGGTAAAATACTTCAGTTTCTTTCAAGGACTCCTACCTGTCATGTGATGCTATACTAGAGTCAGGCTGGAATTTGATATCTCTTATTGCTACAAAAAGTCTGTTTTGTCAGTCTTAAGATCTGTTTTAATATTAATGCTGGTCAGCTGTGCCTAAACTCCAACAGGGAGGAGGGTATAATGAGGCATATCTGACCCCTCCTTTCCATTATGGCCTGAACTCGTTTTTCAGGTTAACTTTGGAATGCCCTTGGCTGAGAGGAAGGATGTATTCAGATGATTGCAGACTTATAATTTTATTTTTGGTTTTCAAAAGTCAGACAACCCACAACCTGGACAATCCATCTCCTGCTATATGGAGACTGACTACTTGAAAAGTGCCAAGACTGTGGTTTTAATGGAGTTTTATGGTAGAAGCCAGGTGCATAGTACTATAAATTGAGCCACTTCTTAACAATATCTTAAGCCAAATTATTAGGGGGTACAAGTCCTCAAAATAATGTGCAGTTTGGAAATATCACCTAGAAGTAACCTCAGACTTGTCCAAAGGTGTCATTCTTCTGCTGTGTCACCAAAATTCCAGCACTCAAAATTGATCTCTGATATGGTTTGGCTCTGTGTCCCCACCCAAATCTCATCTTGAATTGTAATCTCATAATTCCCACATGTCATGGGAGGGACCCAGTGGGTGGTAATTGAATCATGGGGTTGGTTTCCCTATGCTGGTCTTGTGACAGTGAGTTTGTTCTCATGAGATTTGATGGTTTTATAAGGGGCTTTTTCCTCCTTCACTCAGCACTTCTCCTTCCTGCCGCCATGTGAAAAAGGATGTATTTGCTTCCCCTTCCACCATGATTGTAAGCGTCCTGAGGTCTCCACAGCCATGCAGAACTGTGAGTTAATTAAACCTCTTTCCTTTATAAATTACCCAGTCTTGGGTATGTCCTTATAGCAGCATGAGAATGGATTAATACAATCACCAGTCACTGACAGAACTTCAGGAAAAAGCCAAACTTGTAAATAAGGGAAAAGCAAAAACCCTCTAAAAAATACTCTGAGCTTGAATATTCAAGATTTTTTTTCTAGCATCATGTAGGTGATACACGTGAGGGTTTTTGTCCACCCGAATTGTCTGAGGTCTGTTGCCATATGCAGGATATTCCTGAGAACTTCCTTTGAAAGAGCATATGCCAGGCTGAGCTTTTTCTTTCATAACAAATGTAAAAAAAAATTTTAGCATTATTTATGGAATTTTTTTTTCCACTGGCATGCTGTGGTGCAATTCTAGCTCACTGCATTCCCAAATTTCTGGGCTCAAGGGTTCATCGAGCTTCCTCAGTAGCTGGGACTACAGGTGTGTGCCACCATACCTGGCTAATTTTTTTTCTTTCTTGTAGAGATGAGGTCTTACTACATTGCCCAGGCTGGTCACAAACTTCTGGCTTCAAGCTATCCTTCCATCTCAGCCTCCCAAAGTACTGGGATTACAGGTGTGATTACCATGCCTGCCTGGAAAGCTATTACTTGAGTGTACTTTCTTTAACTGGATATCTAACACAATTTACCACAATAGCCACCCAGAAGAAGAAGTACTTGGCTTTAAAAACAGAGCCACAGATGCTCATACTTGATCCAAAGAATAAACCTCAAATGTGGTCCTAGGGCTTCTGATTCCCTGTTCTGGAATCCTTGGAGGCTGGGAGAGGGGACAGTCCTCAGAGTGAAAGCCTGGCCCTCTACAGGTGGCTTTGGGAAGTCTGAGGGGTGCTGGACATGTGGGAGTTAAACTCAGCTCTGAGATCTAGTTTTCCTTGCAAATGTTTCCATTTTGGTTGGGGCAGAGACCTACTGGCTGTCCAACAAAAACTGGGCCTCCTTTCTACCTGGATTCAAGTCTGGAGCCCATTTTCCAGCCTCCCTTATAGTCTGGAGTGACCATGAGATCAAATTCTTGCCAGTGGAAGTAGAAAAGAATGATAGGTCCCCATTCCAGGCCTGGTGTGTAAAGCCCCTCATGTGATCTTCCCCAAGCCCTTTGCTTCCTCCCTTCTAGTTGGAATGGTACCAACCAGAGCCCCTATGGATGCCAACTAGGAGAGATGGCAGGGCTACCAGGAGCCTGGGTCCCTGAGTGACTGTGTGGAGCAGACTCCTGCTGACTTAGAACTTCTGCATTGGACTATTAGTGAGAGAGAGAAAGTGTCTGCCTTGAACTATTACATGTTTGTTGCAGCAGTTTAGCTTTTGACCTGAGTCACTAAGATCACATTAATCACATTTACTGTTTACCCTCTGTGATATTGTGAAATATATATTCAGTCTTCATCCCATTTTCTGGCATAGAACTCCTAAAATCCTTGAAATCTCCAGAATGTTATGTTTTTGTGTGTTAATGATAACTGACAGCTCCACATTAGGGATGGGGCTGGTCACTGGCAAGACCAAGGCAGAATTAGAGGGATGACAATTTCAGATCTACCCCTGACCCTCAGGAAGGGGAGAGGGGCTGAAGGTTAAGTTGACTATCAATGACCAATGGTTTAATCAATCATGCCTATGTAATGAAGCCTCCATAAAAACTCAAGACGACAGGATTCAGACGGTTTCCAGAAAGTTGAACACATGCAGGTTCCTGGAGGGTGGTGCCCTGGGGAGGGCACAGAAGCTCCACGCCCCTTCCCTTGTACCTTGTGCTACGCATCTGTTCATCTGTATCCTTTGTAATACCCTTTACAACAAACCAGTAAACATAAGCCAGTTTCCCTGATTTCTGTGAGCCACACTATTAAATTAATTGAACTCAAAGACAGGGTTGTAGGAACCCCAACTTGAATTCAGTTGGTCAGAAGTTCCAGATGCTCAGACTTGCAACTGGTATCTGAAGGTGAGGGGACAGTTTTGGGGACTGAGCTCTCAACCTGTGGGATCTGATGCCATCTCCCGTGTTAAGAAGAAAACTAAATCCTGTAAAATATTTTAAAGAAATTTATTCTGAGCCAATATGAATGACTGCAGCCCAGAGGAAAAATGAACCCAAGAAGCCTTGAATAAGTGGTTCTGAGGCAGTCAGGTTACAGTTTAGTTTTATGCATTTTAGGAAGACAGGAGTTACAGCTTTTAAGTCACTGAAGTTCCTCTATCTGGAGTCACCCTACCTTCTCCCTCTAGTCTCAGTTCCCTCAGCTTCTCCTACACTCAGAGAAATAGGAGGAGGGGGCCAAGTGTGGTGGCTCATGCCTATAATCCCGGCACTTTGGGAGGCTGAAGTGGGAGGATCGCCTGAGGTCAGGAGTTCGAGACCAGTCTGGCCAACATGGTGAAGCTCCGTCTCTAATAAAAATAAAAAAAGTAGCCAGGTGTGGTGGCTCAGCCTGTAATCTCAGCTACTCAGGAGGCTGAGGCAGGAGAATTGCCTGAACCTGGGAAGCAGAAGTAGCAGTGAGTGGAGATTGCACCATTGCACTCCAGCATGGGCAACAGAGCAAGACTCTTGTCTTAAAAAAAAAAAAAAAAAGGCCGGGATTGGTGGCTCACACCTGTAATCCTAGCACTTTGGGAGGCTGAGGGGGGCAGATCATGAGGTTAGGAGATCGAGGCCATCCTAGCTAACATGGTGAAACACCATCGCTACTAAAATACAAAAAAAATTAGCTGGGCATGGTGGCAGACACCTGTAATCTCACCTACTTGGGAGGGTGAGGCAGGAGAATTGCTTGAACCTGGGACGTGGAAGTTGTGGCAAGCTGAGATCAAGCCATTGCACTCCAGCCTGGCGACAGAGTGAGACTCCGTCTCAAAAAAAAAAAAAAGGAGGCGGGAGGAAAGGGCAGTAGGACTTCTTGGAAGGACTGGAACATAGGTATTTTCCAGTGGGGTAGATTCCTGGTAGGGTGGTGTCTCCCACCGTGGGAAGCTATCAGCCCCTAGGTTTTCCCTCCCACTCCCAATCCTGCCCCATCCCCACTGAGCTGGCTAGCATGTGAAATAGGAACTCTTCAGCTCCACTTCCAGCTTCTGCAGACTTAACAGTAATGCAAGCTAAGAGGCTTGCCAAGGTGACCTGGTGGGTCTGTGGCAAACAGAGTGGAACCCAAGCCTCCTGTCCCCAAGGTGTCCTTGTCACCACACACGAAGCCCTTTCACTCCATAAAAGAGAGAAGCCCATGCTGCCACATGCTCAGGGCACAGGGAAGGACAAGAACAGCCTTATTTGGACATCTCCCATGTCAAGCTGAGACACTCCTGACCCCTAGAGCTTCTCCTCTCAAGGGAGGACAATTAGCATGGCTCACCTGGGAGGAGAGGCACACACTGTCAGAACTGCCCAGGAAAGAGCTGAAGAGAAACAGAGGAAGCAAACTTTTCACATGGCTATGACCCACCTGTTGCAAAACACTTCATGAACAGCATTCTCCTTCTTTGAACTCACAGGTGTTTTTCTGTTTAATAATAGCAAGAAGATTTTATGATGTGAAACTGCCCATAAGCCATTTTTCCCAGATCCAGTGGTGACATTGATCAACTGTGGGTCTGTGACAAATAACCAGAGAGAAGCAGGTCAACAAGCAAAATCCACTGAGTACAAACTGTACTTTTATGGAAAAGAAAAACAGCCAGATTGAGGTACTATGTTTCTAAACTAGTATTTGTGTTAGCAAGTTAATTAATTGTAGAAATTTTATTCAGAATTTAGAAATGACTTCTAAGTTGGGCAAGGTGGCTTATCCTGCAGTCCCAGCACTTTTGGGAGGCCGAGGCAGAAGGATTGTTTGAGTTCAGGAGTTCGAGACCAGCCTGGGCAACACAGTGAGACTCCATTTCTACAAAAACAACAAAATTTGAGCTGGGAAGGGGGTGCATACCTGTGGTCCCAGCACTCAGGGAGACCAAGACAGGAGGATGGCTTGAACCCAGGTGTTCAAGGCTGCAATACTGTGATTGCATCACTGCATTCCAGCGACAGGCATGACCCCATCTTAAAGAAAGAAAGAGAAAGAAAGAAAGAAGAAAGAAAGAGAGAGAGAGGAGAGAGAGAGAGAGAGAAAGAAAAAGAAAGAGAAGGAAGGAAGGAAGGAAGGAAGGAAGGAAGGAAGGAAGGAAGGAAGGAAGGAAAGAAAGAAAGAAAGAAAGAGAGAAAGAAAGAGAGAGAGAGAGGAAGAAAGAAAGAAAGAAAGAAAGAAAGAAAGAAAGAAAGAAAGAAAGAAAGAAAAAGAAAGAAAAGAAAGAAAGGAGAAAAGGAAGGAAGGAGGAAAGGAAGGAAGGAAGAAAGAAATGACTTATTTATTTATTTATTTTTTCTGAGACAAGGTCTTGTTCTGTCATCCAGGCTGGAGTGCTGTGGTGCAAACATGGCTCACTGCAGCCTCCACCTCCTGGACTCAAGCAATTCTTCCACAGCCCCCTGAATAGCTGAGACCATAGGTGCCTGCCACCGCACCTGGATAATTTCTTAAATTTTTGGTAGAGACGGGTCTCACCATGTTGCCCAGGCTGGTCTCAAGAGATCCTCCCAGCTCAGCCTCCCAAAGTGCTGGGGTTGCAGGCATAAGCCACGATGCCTGGCCTCTAGTTTTCCCAAATGAATCAACTTACATGTATGATTTGGGTGATCAGCACAAAACTTGGGTAGGGATCAGGAAACAGGAGCTCCAGCTCAGCTTGACCACGAATTCTGACTATGAGGGGCTTGCAGCCCCTAAGCTGAGTTGCTTGCTTATCTATGTATCCAGGGCCCTTTGCAGTTCTGCAGCCTGTAGTTCTCCCCAAGTGGAGCTGAGGGCCTCCTGAGACAGGATGCTGGACCCCAGCCCAGTCAGGGCTGAATGCAGGAGGACGCCCTCACACACGCTGATGTTGTCCAGTGTCTCCAAGCAACTCTCAAAGCCTAAACAGTGAGACTGGTTCAATTCTTGGGAGGGGTCGGGGGGTGGGAATGCTAAGCCCTGGTCTTATGCACTCTGATTTATTTTGAAAGCAGTCATTGATGTTTTTTTCCCCCCAGCTCCTGACCTTTAAGTATTTCAGTGGTTACCCGAGCTCTCCTCTCCTCCTGAATCTCTCTTAAAAGTCTTCAGTGTTGAATTTCATGGTCACTCTAAGGTTAAGTGTGGGATTGTCTTACTGCCTTTCTTTGCCTAGTGCTTCATCATTTCAGAGGAAAACTACATTTCCCTGCTTCCGCCACCCCACGCAGACAAAAAGACATTTGCAGAATCATCAATTTTTAATGATTCTGCTGAAATTGGGCTCCTCAGAGGGCTGCTAATGGAGAATGTGTGTCTGCTTTGAGATTCACAACCATCCCCCAGGCGGCTCGGGTTCCTATGCGGCCCCTGTATCAAATCTGGCCATCAGATACCACGGTGAGATGGATTTCAGCTGACTCTCTTCCGTGCAGGAAGCAATCAGAACGGGTTGGCTGAAGGTTTTAGGTGTGCTGAGCCCCGGGTTCTGGGAGAGAGGCAGGTTCAGAGCAGCCAGACACACTGCGCCCAGAGCCCATATGAGTTCCAGGGCTCTCAAAGATGGTTGAGGCTGGGTGCAGTGGCTCATCCCTATAATCCCAGCACTCTGGGAAGCCAAGGCAGGAGGATGGCTTGAACCCAGGAGTTTGAGGCCAGCCTAGGCAATGTAGTGAGACCCCCCAGTATCTACAAAAAATTTTTAAATAAGCCAGGCATTGTGGTATGTACCTATGGTCCCAGCTTCTTAGGTGGTTGAGGAGGGAGGATTGCTTGAACCCAGGAGGTCAAGGCTGCAGTGAACATGGTCATGCCACTGCATTTTAGCCTGGGTGACAGAGTGAGACCCTATTTCAAAAAAAAAAAGTTTGAATTCTGGAAATAAATTTTTTGGGCCCCAAAATGTGAAGAGAAAATGGCAAAGTCAAATTAATATTCATTTATAACACCAGAGGAGGCGTGGTGGCTCACGCCTGTAATCCCAGCGCTTTGGGAGGCCAAGGTGGGCGGATCACGAGGTCAAGAGATTGAGACCATTTATAACACCAAATGGTAACAACTCTACCTTTTTAAAAATAATGAAATGGCTGCGTGTGGTGGCTCACACCTGTAATCTCAGCACCTTGGGAGGCCGAGGTGAGTGGATTACCTGAGGTCAGGAGTTCGAGACAAGCCTGACCAATACGGTGAAACCCCATCTCTACCTAAAATACAAAAAGTTAGCTGGGTGTCGTGGCACGCACCTGTAGTCCCAGGTACTTGGGAGGCTGAGATAGGAGAATTGCCTGAACCTGAGAGGCGGAGGTTGCAATGAGCCAAGATCATGCCACTGCATCTCAGCTTGGGTGACAGAGCAACGTCTCAAAAAAAATAAAAATAAAATAAAAAGAGTGAAGTGTACTTAATGTGGACTGTCAGCTGCTTGAATGTCCCTGATGTGATGTGGTGGAAGGACCCCTGGCCTGGGGAGAGGAAAGACACCCAGGCCTCCCATGGTGTACAGGGCTGCTTTCAGCCCCTCACGGAGGGTCCACCAGGCTCGTGGGGCCCCGGAACGCTGAACTGATGTCCTCCCCTTGGGCCTAACCTTGTGCAAACCTGTTGGGCCTTCTATAACTGTGCACCCCTGGTACCCTAGTCCCTGTCCTGAGTCCAGCTTTTAGTCCTGGATTCTTAGCATAAATTCCCCTTTTTGTTTAATCCAGCATGAATTGGTTACTTACTTACAAACTAAACTCTTAATTAAGGCAAGAATCTAAGCTTCTTGGCCAGTCCCATCCCCTTCCCACGGCTGGGCAATTTAATTAGTTGGTTAAAGAAAGCAAAGAAAATATTTAAAGCATTCAAATCAACTTCCACAGTAGGCTGGTTTGGGGTTTCCACTTGGCTAGGCACTTTTGCTGAAATTATCCAAATAAGTAATCTGTTGCCTATTATATAAGCTTGTTTTATGGTGTTTATTGTTTAGGGTCTGCATTTTTGTGCTGGAATGTCAGTTTCACGTGGGGTAGGAATTTTTATTTTCCTTATTGTTTTATCAAGTGCCTAGTAGATGCTCAATATACATGTTGTGGAAGAATGACAGTTTCATCAGAAACATCC